AGGAGAGGATGTAGAATTTGGGGGGCAGATCTGTTTTTGATGCACATAATCAAGAACATGCCTGTTGTATAAAAACACAAATAATAATCTGTTGTACTCCAGCCAACCCAACTCGGTGAACTCTTCCCTCCTTTTTTTTTTTTTATACTTTGGGCCTCTGCTGATGTTTTGCAAATGTGCATTCTTGTTCATTTAGGAGGCTCCTTTTCCTTTCATTTCCCACTTGATTACTGCTGAATTTGAAGGATTCCGGAAAGTACGAATACAAGAAAAAAGTAAATGGGAATAGGAGTCGACATAAGGTTCAGATTAAACGGTGTTGTGTTGCCTCTCTTTGTTTTTTCCTCCTCCCTTCCCATCGGATGTTTTCATAACAAAACCAAATGTGTGCGTGGAGTCAGCCAAGAGCAGTTCAGAGACAGAGAATCCCTGAAGCAAAAAGTTAAAGTTACATTGCTGAATTGGGTCTCCGGTATCCTGCAGGCAGTCAGGCTGGAGCTCATGAACCCATGGCTCTTTTAAAGATGGGTCATTTTACAGCTTCTTTTGCATTTCTCCCCAGTTGGATATTATCTTTGTAAAACATTTATTTAACATTTTTCAGATGTGGTTTCATATTATTAAGCAGCAATGATATTAGCTGGAGGGCTTAAAAGATGAATATGTTTTCAGTCATAGTTTTCAAAATTCGTTTTTACTTCATGAAGGATGGCATTGTGCACATCACATGGCGCACCCAACACCTTCCATCCATCTATCTGATGATGTAACAGGTCAGGAAGGAAACCCAAGGTGTTTCCATGCCAGATGGGATTTCTAGTCTGTAAAGCTAGTTCTGCAGGGCCTCCTCCCAAAGGGACATACCCAGAAATAACTAAAGGAAGGCTCCTAATCAGATGCCTGATTCACCTCAACTCTTTTAAAAGTTCTATTAAGAAGATGGATCTGATCTCTGAGACTCACTCCAAGATCCTCTTTTTAGATATTTGTGGCCAGGATCTCATTCAATGGTCATGATTAGCATTTTATGACCAAGGTTGGATTGAGAACTTTCTGAGCTGTCTGCACCACAGACCGGAGGAGCATCCTGTCTATCACAAAACTGAACTAGATTGGAGGCAACCAGATTCTCACACAGTTACTTCTGAAGATGTTTCAACACCTACCCAGGAGTCTTTGTCGGTGCTGTGAACTTACACCAGAGCAATCTGTATTTGGAGCACTGATGTTTTTAAGCAGGATGGAGGTCCATCCTCCTAGGCAAATCCTAAGTCAGATGCAAATAAACAATCAACTCATTGTCTACCTGGTTAGCTTATGCCATTCGAACCGTGAGGAGTGTACTTATGACATTTCTTTGCAATGATTTTCATGACAAAACTCTCTATGCTTCCCTGGCCCTCTGTTCGGTGATGGTTTTTCTCTTTTTGCAAAGATGTCTTCCTTCACCCTTCTTTGAAACCATCTGTCCTTTCAATCCAAGATCTGAATATTTTGGTCAGCAGAGTTGTGACCTTTATTCTTGAGGTGTAAATGTAGTGCAGAATCTTGCCCAGAGCTTCTGGCTCTCCTGTGCTTTACCAAGCGTTGTATGTAGTTGTTGTTTGGTTTATCCAATATAGGAGTCCAGACAGTCCTTAATTACGAGGACTGCATGGAGGCAGAGATCAAATGACCTTCTGACAATATCATGACAGCGTTCTAGAAGCGCCAAATGGTGATATTCATCAGTGCAGACTGAGCATTTGCATACTGTTAATTTAATTAGTAATGTAAGTGATTCTTACCTGGACTATTTAAATGTTTTAGCATATATTATGATTATGGAACAGTGGCTTCCATTATAACAGAACGTCATGTTAATGTTGGCTCTGCTGTAGCAAGGAGGTGGCAACAACGGGACAAAGATGCGGTGTGATGACTCTGGCTCCCTGTGCGGTCCCTGCACCATCTTTGTTCTCTCTCGCCCCCAAAACAGATCCCATGTAGTGACCATGTTTGCGCAATACTTTTCAAAGTGCATTGTGGAAAATTTTTAAGTCCACTACTTTTTAATCCACTAGACATTCAGACACTAAAATGGCATTAGGGCGGACACTCGGACACAGCCAATGACTGAATCAATAATCAACAGTCCTCTGATGCAGCATCCATACGCTGACTTACTGTGCTCTGAACCATATCAAAGCAGATTTTAGAAATAGTAAATGTTCTGCTTAACGGTTACTAATGGAAGAACCTAAAAAGCTACACACACTGAATTGAAGTTGGTTCTATTAGTCCCAATTAGCATTCTGATGTAAAAGGGGCTTTTATGTGGCTTGAGGGAAGAATCTGTTTCAGTGTGAGGTAGATTTTCAATATTTTAGGGATTAGGAAGGGCACTAATATATGTAGCCATCTCAAGGTCCTATGGGCTAAAGTAAAACATCATAGACATGGGAAAGTTGTCTTTGTTGATATTGACCCTCCCAGCATGACAGAAGACTTACAGCAGATTAAGCTCTAAACAGCTGGATTTATCTTCACAAATTCCAAATGCTGTTCATTTTTTGATTTGGAAAATTGCTTTGCATGTTGTAAACATTTATATTTACATGTCCTCTAAACATACATTTGCCTGGTTTTGTGATTAGAATATGATCTGCATCTTTAAAAATCTACTCTGCTTGTACAAACAAGTTTGCACCTGTTTTAAGACAGGCAAACCTTTTAAAGATCAGGTCCTTGGTGTTTTACTTGCTGCTCCTCTTAACTCCTACATTTTACTATTTCTAACCTCGACCATTATACTTAGCCAGATGTGTATTTTTACTTAATCTTTAGAACAGATTGAAGTGTATATGGATAAATGTATCAAAGGTGGAGATGTATGGATTTGAGCTTCCAGACAGCAAACCTGCTTCCATTAATTTTGCTTCTCCGTCTTTTCTTTCTTCTGGCTCTCTCTCTCTCTCTCTCTCTCTCAGTCAGATAGGCTCTGAAAAACATAAACAGGATGCAGTCTTGTCTGATCGTAAATCCCCTCTCGTCTGCTGTCTGGCCCCCGGCCCTGGACCACGTCCGTTCCCCACCAGCCCTCTGCACTCCATCTCCCCCCAAAGACCCCCACCCATCTCAGCTCCGTCTGTGCATTTGTGCAAAACATTAACTTTACTTTCCAACAAAATACTCACCCGAGTCTCTAGAGTTTCCAACGTACATGATGCACATAACTGATGTGTCAAATGTTTGACGCGTCACAGAAACAAATTCCATAAATGACTGTGGGGAAAGGAATGATTTCTACTGGAGTCCAGCTTGAGGAAAAAAAACTGGAATGGTGTTTTGTGCCTAGAATGTGCTTCTTACCGGGATCTTTAATCAATCTCCATTTCCTTTGTGACATGGATAACAACTGTGGCCGGTGAAACTGAAAGCCATAATGCTTCCTAACTGACTTGTTTCCAGGCCGTGAAATTAAAAACCAGTCAACCCTCCTAACATTTTGTAAACTATATATCTTCATTTTAATAAGATGAACCAGAGGAATCCTTTTTAGATTTGGTTTCGGCAGTGATTAGCAGATCCCTTCTCCAAAAAAATACCAGACTTAGACAATGTGCAGGATTTTTAGTGACTGGTGATGTTCCTAAACATGTAGGGAAGGGAAAAAAAACTGCCAAAAGTGGAAAAAACAAACCAAATCAGGTTCTAAATAAACATGACTGAAAGCAGCTTAATTATTTACTGAGGATGTTCTTTGATATCGTAATTTTGTGGCATCTAACGTCTATATGGGACAAAGAAAGCCAAGCCATGATAGTCTGGATTGATTCAAAGATGTTTTTGATACTTTCTTTCCTTGCCTCCCAGTAATGCAGGTGTTTATCTTAACCAGTTGGGCAGTCAGGCCTTATCCACACATTGCAGGATATCAGGGAAAAATTAGACATTTTTATGTGGTTATGCATTTTAGCTGCACAAAAAAGTGATTCATCCCTTAAAACCAATGATCCTAAAAGCCTACAGTTGAAGTGAACATTTATAAATGCTCTGGTAAAGAGGCTTTGTGTGTACATGAAAAGCGGGATCTCAATGTCCACTGCATCACGGGTTGTGATGAATCTTACTTTGCTGCATCGCACACATGCAACATTGTCTGAACTTGATTTTGTCAGAGTTGCTGTTTTTAAATTACACTTTTTGTTTGGTTTTATGATTCATGATCCATAATTTTGATCCATGTTTCAGTCCTAACAGGAAGTTAGTTATTTTTTAAGGATTCTGATTGGCTGAAGAATTTTATTTTTTTCTGTATTAATGTCTGTTTTTTTCTGTTTTCCTATTTGTCTGGTGTATAAAAACAGAAATCACTCATTCTTTGTTTTTTCTTTTTTTTTTTTTTTATAAATTTATTTTTATTGAGCTTTTTAGAATACAGACAAAAGGCAGTCAATACTATACAAAAGATAAGAAAATATAGAACCAACAAAACAAATCTAACATACTAGGGGGAAACTCTTATTCCAATATCCTTCATAACCCAAGTAAGTCCTGTAACGTTGATGTGAAGCTTATCCATTTTTCCCATTTTGCTTGACATTTTTCTTCCTGTGTTCTCAGTCTATGTGCTTAAATCTCCGTCTCATCTAATATGTTCACAGTCTGTATCCATTCCTTTGTGGTGGGGGGATCAGATTGGCCCCACTTCCTGGTTATTACCATTTTTTTTTTCTTGAGGTTAATGTGGATGTAAGTTATTCGAAAGAAACTGGTGTGTACGGTATTATTTAAAAAAAATGATGTAGGAGAGCTAAGTGTGGATTACTTCTCTTCATTTTTAGCTCTGAATGTGTTTGGTGTGGATCAGGCGGACGTGAACCCTGAAGTTTTTTTAATAAATCATAAATATGATTAATACATATCTTTTTCTAGCCTTGAACTCTTTGAAGGCTTTGAAGTTTTGTATGAAGAAGTTAATCGATTGAGTTTAAAAAGTGTAAATCTTTTGCACACAGGTCTGCATGCACTAAGGCGAGCTCTGGGAGCTTCCAACCAAGCATCTGACCAGCAGCTGAAGGGGAAGGTGACCGTCTCTCTGCAGGACCTCCAGTGGGCCATGACTGTGGTAAAGCCCAGTGCAATGAGAGAGGTTGCTATCGACGTTCCTAAGGTACAGAAAAACCTCTAGTATCTGTCCCTCCATCTGTTTTATTGGTTTATCAATTACTTTCTGAAGATTGATTTTCCTCT